TGGTACTAATAGATGAAGCTCGTAGGGGCCGAGAGCACTGTAACAGTGCTCAGAACAGCCCTCCACAACAAATGATTATCTGGCCAAAAGCATCAGTAGTACTGAGGATGAGAAACCTGAGCCCAGAATGACTTAATTTAAAACATTAATTTCTTCTCTGATGATGACATATTAAGTTTTATTTTCACAGACATGAAAAAAATAGAACAAAGATTTACACTTAACATAAAACTACTGCTGGGCATGGTGGCATACATCTGTAATTCCAGCACTGCGAGGCTGAGGCAGGAGGATCGCCACGAGTTCAGTGCCAGCCTGGGTTCAAGGTCAGCCTCAACTGCATAGTGAGACCTTGCCTCAAAAAAAAAAAAAAAAAAAAAAAAAAAGCAAACAAATAAAAATAAAAATAAAACCCTGCTATATTACTATATATTTGTAAAAAATTACTAATGACAAATTTTTGTGAATAACATTAACCCTGTTTATATAAGGAACGTTTTTTTATCTTCTAGGGATATTATAGTGGAGATGTTTTCTTCATTTTTTTCAACATATTTAGTGAGCATCCACTTTTTAGATGTTCTACGTAAGGTACCAGAATGAACAGTCAGCAGTTATGTTAGAGTCCATAAGCATACAGATAAAGTAGCAGTCACTGTGACTAATGCTCTTTTAAGTGGACAGAACCTAGCGGTGGAACAGAGTGATAGCTTCTGCAGCTAGTTTGGGGATCTAGAATAAGAAAAAAATAACAAAAGAAAGCTTCCCAGAGGAGCCAGAGCCTGACCTGAACGCCTGCATCAGAAGACAGGGAGACCGTATGTCGTGCCACACTCACTTTCTTACCACATTTGGTTTCTGCTTTACCAACAGCAGGCTTATCAATGTTCAGGAAAGATTTAGATAGAGGACTATCATGTTGGCATTTCAGAAACATCCCTGAGAGCAGTTCAGGGTCAGGGCTGCAGCTCAATAGCACAGCACCTGCCGGGTAAGCATGAGGATCTGAGTTTGAACCTCAGTACCATCCCACCCCAGCCGCAAAAAATTAGAGCAGCCATAAAGCGCCCAAGCCAGAGAGACACTAATTAGGGTCCAGATCCAAAGCGAGGAGGATCTAGAATAAGGCATTAACTCAGTAGTAAAGAAGGAGGAAGAGAAGAATTAAAAGGATACTGATAAGAACCAGTCTAACCACAGCTAATACAGCATTTTCTGGGCACACTAATGTAAGGAAACTGGGTTACTTAATGAGTTCACACTAATGTAGGGGCAAAAACTGGGACAAGCTCATGCTGTTAGATGATCTGAGGGTAGATTAAATATAAATGTGTAAATACTTATAGCAATCACCGTAAACTATAGTGCAATACAAACTTTTAATTAATAAATTAGCCTTTCTTAAATTAACCTTAAGGACAAAACTGATTGGAGAATACTTTAAGATATAGAGTTAAACGTCAGTCTGACAGAAAAGAGCTTGAAAATAATCACAACCATCCTTACAACAAGAAAATCCTGAACAAACTGACAGTAATTTTTCTTAGATCCATCAAGAAATCATGGTAACAGGAGATACCCTCACCCCTAAAAGTGCAGACACAGGCAGATAAGAGAATCACACTTCCAAAAACAAAACTGCAGCTGGACCCAGATCTTTGTGGTGTTGTCTTTTTTTTCATTTTGTTTTGTTTTGTTTTGTTTTTTTGAGACAAGTTCTCACCATGGGTTCAGGCTGATCCTGAACTCTCTATGCCTAACCCAGGCTGGCCTCAAAATCACAGCAGTCCTGCTTCAGCCTACTGAATGCTGGGATTACAGGTGTGTGTCACTACACTTGGCTTCCCCCACATTTTCTTGAACTTTATCTCTAGGATTTCTACTATGTTCTCCTGTAAAGACCAAAGGAAAATCTCCTGCCTCTGGCAGCAGGAAGGAGTAAAGTAGCTATTTTGAAATATCCAGTGTTCTGTATTTCTGCACAGAACAGATTTCCTCTAGGGAAACCTAGCAGATGGATTTTACCGAAGCCCAAACGACCTTGGGGAGGGGAAGTGCCCAATTTCGGCTTACTAAAACACTAAGACCTAATGACACAACTACAGAACATTTTCTTCCCATCACAACAGTACGAATAAACTTCAAAAACTTCCAGTTTCCAGAAAAACTCCAAAACAACACAGCACACAAAAAAGGGCATAGCAGAAACTTCAGGCTCTAACAGCACAGTAAGTTCAGCTTAACAATTAACCATGTAACGTAAGACATCCTACAAGAAGCCGGTTCCCTTTACCTGATATAGATTGTCTTATTTTAAACAAAAAATGACAAGGCATGTGCCACAGTCTGAAGAGACAGCAAGCATCAAAAGTAGACTCAGAGATGGCACGGAGACAGCATTATCAGACTAGAAATTTAAAATGATTACTAGTCATATGGTAAGAAGTCTAATAAAAATTTACAATATGCAAGAAGAGATTAAGTCATGTAAGCAAAGAGAAAAAAATTCCCAGAGAAAATCAAATAAAAATAGTAGAAACAGCAGGGCATGGTGGTGCACACCTGAAATCCCAGCACTGTGGAGGCAAAGGTAGGAGGACGGCCATGAGTTTGAGGCCAACCTGGCCTACAAAGTAAATTCAAGGCCTAGCTGAACTACAAAGCAAGACCTTGCCTCAAAAAAAAAAAAAAAAAAAAAAAAAAAAAAAAGTAGAAATAAAAAACCACTATAATATAGATGAAGAAGGCATTTGATGAGGTCATCAATAGACTAGAAACAGCAAAGAATCAGTGCATTTGAAAAGAAAATATAAATTTCTAAAACTGAAATGAAAAGAGAAAAAAGAATTTCCAAGAACTGTGGATCAGTAACCCAAGTTATCAATATGTCTAAAGAAATGCCAGAAGGAAAAGAAAAAAAGAGACAATAAATATTTGAAGCAATAATGACAAAGTCATTCAAAAATAATGATAGACGGGCTGGGGATTTAGCTCAGCGGCATAAGCACTTGCCTTGCAAGCAGGTAGTTGTGAGATCGATCCCCTGGACCGATAAAAAACAACAAAATTAATGATAGACACAAAAACATTCAGATGTCCTGCATTTATCACGCAGGACAAATACCCTCAAATATATACATAGTTATTGTATAGCACTCAGACTGTAGAAAACCCAGAACCCTAAAAAGAAGCCAGGAGGAGCGAGGGGTGGTGGTGGCGGCTTACACTTGCAATATCACCACTGAGAGAGGCTGAAACAAGAGGATCTCAAATTCAAGTTCCATCTGGGCAACTTAATGAAGACCTTTCTCAGAATAAAAAGTAAAACAGGCTGTGGATGTAGCTTAGCAGCAGAACATCCTTGAGTTCAATCCTCAGTACCTTGTTGGGGTAGGAGGAGGCAGGAGTACAGAGAAACAAACATAAGAATTATATTTGACCTTACAAGCCATGTAGATAAGAGGAGACTCAAGGATTTTAAATGTTGAAAGAAAAGGCCACTAACCTAGAATTTCATATTGTGTGAACTTATCTTTCAAAAAAAAAAAGGCAAACAAAAATTGAAAAAGTATGTCTTAAGTAGACCTACCTTGCAAGAAATGTTAAAAGAAGTTTTCCAGAGGTCAGAAAATCACAGAGATCAGAAACTCAGATCCACAAACAGAAAGGTGGAGCACTGGAGAAAGAAAAGATGAAGGTAAATATTTTATTACTCATATTCTTAATTGATCTAACAGATAATTTGTTCAAAATAATAACAGCAACAGTGTATTTGGTAATTGAAATTTATGGGTCAGTGAAATGAATGGGAATACTCTGTTTTAAGGTACCCATATTACCCAAGACCTGTAGTATTATTTGAAAGTGGAACTTCATTAGCTATAATATATATACAGACTGGGGCGATCAAGAAGATGTGAAAAAAGAAGTATAACTGATATGTGAAGAGAGAAGAGACAGTAGAACTACATAAAACAGTTAAAACCACAGAAGGCAGAAGAGTGGAAGACAAGAAAACGTATGGCCACTCAAGTGTACGGATACTGTGAAGGTACTGGAAACCACAGCGTCCCAAAAATTTTAAGTATTCAAAAACCACTGTTTCAGGGAAAAAAAAATTTTTTTTTTTTTTGTCCCAGAAATCAAACTCAGGACCTTGCACTTGCAGGGTGGGCGCTTATGCCTCTGAGCTATATCCCCAGCCTGTGACCTTTGAAGTCCATCTCTCAGATTTCCCCACTTAAAACACATAACTCCTTTGAGAATTTGGAATGAGGTTTGGATTTTGAAAATACCTTCTGGGGTGGTGCAAGACTGGAGTCCACTGTTGCAGTCTGGTAATCTGAGCCTTAACCCTCACAGCTACTGAATCATGAGGACCAGAGCTGACGCTCCGGGTCATTCCTCACCCAGTTTCCCTTCCCTCCAGGACAGATGCAGTTAGGCGTACATACACATTTTCTTCACCAAATGTACCACTTGCGGCACGAAAGAGGACTTGGACCATGTGCTTCACTTTTCTTACTACCTTATCAGTTTGCCTTAGAATGACCCCTGCATCTCTTGCCTCAGAGTCCCTGGGTGTCTGCTAAGGTTGTGATCCCCAGGACCTGCTCCAGAACTACTGAGCCTGGACCTGTGGCAGTGGGTCCAGGAACCTGCATTGCTAGCTAATGTCACATGTGAGTCTTGTGTGTCACACAGAATGAGGACCACTGCTTTACTATCATCCCTTTATAGTTGGGGATGGATGGGAAAAGGCTCCTCCTTCTGTCCTCCTCTCTGGGTCAGTTTACTATAGCCCAAATTACCTGCTTAATATCTGTTAATCAAACACTTGTCTCATGAATGCTCAAGGAATATTTGTTGAAAGATTACCTGAAAAGCATAATATTTTTCTTTAATTATTTTGAGTCTTCTAACTTAGATAGTAGGCATTTTATTCTAAAGTTTAAAAAAGTTATAGTCATGTGTAAAGAATAGTCGTAACTTTAAAACTATAGGAGCAAAACAAGCTAAACTTTATTTAGATGTTGGGCTTGCTCTAATGCAGATCATCAAAATCAGGTACTTAGCTTCTCTTGTTGGTTAAATTATACTTAAAGAATTCCTGAAAAAGAAAAAAAAGGATAAAACATAGCATTTACAGAAAATATACATCCAAAACAACAGTGACAAAAACTTACACTGGGTTGTCACAGGATCAAAAAATTAATGTGGAAATATCACACTGTTTCTCTGGTGTGAGAAATGGGAAGTGTAAATCAGGATCAAAATGTATAATAGATACCGTGGAACAGGAAGAAAATGTTCAAATGGGAAGGGGAACTAGGGAGGGAGAGGGAGAAAGGAAGGAAGGGAAAAGAAAAGGAAAGAGAAAAGAAGGAAAGCATGGATGCAAAGCTTTTGTAAATAAGGAAGAGAAGAGGGGTTGAAGGGAGGAAACTGGAAAAAAAAGAACCTGTACGTTATATCACGTACAGGTACAGATTCCCTACGATGAATGTGATCATTATGTGCACCTATAATGTCCCAATAAACTTAATTTAAAAAAGTGATGTCCTAAATGTTGGGGGTACTGTAAGGGTGGCCTCAGAGGTGAGAGAACTGGCAGAAGGGGAAGGCAGAGTAAATGAAAGAGAAAAAAATGATCAGGTTAAGAACATAGGCCTATGTTATCAAACCCTCCCAGAGAACAAGAAAATTAAGGATCCTGGGAAACCAAATAGCTAGTCTGCAAGATAAAAGATAAAAGGAAGGGGAATTTTAACTAGCTTCAAGAATTTGTGCTGGAAGCCAGGTGTGGTGGCACGTGCCTATAATCCTGGCACTTGGGAGGCTGAGGCAGGAAGATCCCCGTGAGTTTGAAGCCAGCCTGGACTACATAGTGAAACCTTCTCTCAAAAAAACCAAACTAAAAGAAAACAACAATTTTAAAAAGCCCTAAAAAAAAAAACCAAACCAAAAAAAAAAAAAAAAAAAAAAGCAAGAAGAATCAGCACTGGGCATGGTGGTATGTACCTTTAATGCCAGCTTTGGGGAGGCTGAGGCAGGAAGATGGCTGGGAGTTCCAGGCGTGGGCTACACAGGGAGTTCAAGGCCAGCCTAAACTACATAGTGAGACTCTGTTTTAAAAAACAAAATAAGCCTGTTTTAAAAACAAAATAAGGTGTGGTGGTGCACTTGCATAATCCCAGCACTCAGGAGGCTGAGGCAAGAAGATCATTGTGAGTTCGAGGCTAGCCTGAAGTAGATAGGGAAATCCTGTCTCAAAAAAGACAAAAATCCAAAATGAAACACAACAAAACAAAACCAAAAAAGAAAGAATCTGGTCAGTGGTTAGACATCTGTTCTACTATACTACCAACATCCTCTGTCTAGGCTGTATCTGATCAAACTGTGTAAGTGTATCAAAACCTATACGGGAGAAGGCCCCTACTTGATTTTCAGTACCTTCTCACATTTCCTACTTTAAAAACCTGGGATATTCTTCGCACACATTCTTTGTGAAAGAGAAAGAGTAAATAGAAGCAATCAACAAGCCCTCACCAGGGGCATCTGTACTTCTCAGAAGACTGCCATTCAGAGGAACACAAGACATTTTGTTCGTCAGTCCGTCAGTGGGACACAGATGCATGTGGGTGGCAGGCACATGCTTTGGTTTGCAGGTGGTGTGCATGTGTGCATGTGTATTAAAGGGGCCTGGGAGAACTGACCAAAGGTTAAACCAGGACTCACCTTGCACCTATTGGTAGCAGGACATAAACACAGACGTAAGTCTGTCACCACTCTGGAAAAGAGAAGCAGTGTTACGTAAATAATTTAATCTTCTCTCCTTGGCAAGCAGGGACACCAGAGATGAGACAGACAGGACACATACGCAGCCACACACAGTCACGTGCATCCTCTTAAATTGGGGGTCAGTCCCCCAAATTGCACATGGCCTGTTGAGAGGCAAGAAGAAAGAACTAGAGACTTACTCTGGATGGTCAGGGTAGACAAATTTTTCCTCAAAGACATAACTGATCCAGAAGACTTAAAATTATGTGTAAAAGATGGTGTGCCTGAACAAAAGTGAGAGAAATAGAAAAACAGTGCAACAATAATTAGCAAAGTTCTCTAAAATTAATCTGTGATAGAAGATAACAACGTAACTCTGTAAACAAGAAGCAAAAATTACCTATAAGCAACTTTCTTTCTAGGTCCTCTTGGATTTTAAGAAGAATTCTTTCCTGTTCTAAGGCTTCTATATACTTTGAGTAGCACCAGGTTGGCTGCAAAAAAATTTCAAAGTTGATTCTGGAAATTTTTGCCTATGAAACTATGCAATGTGATCAAAATAAATGGTGAATGTTTAAAACATTTTGTTATAGTAAAAGACAGTGTCATTAATCTCTGTCAGAATCCTCCCGTTTGCTTCAAATACATTTATCCCATTTTTCTTTCCACTTTCTGAAGCAGTTCTGGAAGTTCTCTTGTGTGTCTTAAGGTAGAATGATCAAAAAATACAATGAATGCTGCTGCCTGGTGTCACCCAACAGAAAGGCAGCCTCATAAAAGGTGCCCTTACCCACCTTGCTCAATGGATCTGCTGCCCTAAGCCTTCTAGCTCCTCCCCAAAGTCAAAGTGACCATGAGAGGCTTTGAAAGGTGAATGTTTTAAAATGATTCAGGATGAAATTCTTGCATTCTCGGAGGGCTCGAGGACATCCTGTTTCAGTCTCTCCTAGCATTGTAACTTTAGCCCTGTTGCTCTGTCCAGTGCCTGAGTTACTGTGTCCCACTACTCAGTGCTCAGCGAGGAGGGAAGACTAACTGCTTGCCGCTTACCTGTCGGCCATATGCTTGGAGGCCTAGCAAGGATTCACTGACAGGCGTTTTGAGAGTAGACCCCGTAGTACTTGCATATTGTTTGGTTCCAATCTGTAGTTATATTAAATTAAATTATTGAGAAAAAAGACACTGCTGTGGTAATATCAGTTAAGAAGTCATAACATCATATAAAAAAGTTTCACAGTGAATGCTACAGTTGAGATTTTGCTAAGTGACCCTTTGATCTTTTTCTTTTATACTAATATAAAAATACCCAAAAGTAAATGAGATAAATGTTAAGTGCACAAATCACTCCCAAATTTTAGCATACAAAAACATCATTATATCGAGAACAAGTCACCAAGGAGCGGGCCCTCCCTGTGAATCAGTGCCATACCACTGCGGGGACAGTTAGTGCTTTTGTGGACTGTGGAAGAAGAGAACAAGAAGTCACCAGGAAGCAAGCCCTCCCTGCGAGTCAACACCATGTGCAGCCACTGTGGGGAGAGCCAGATGCCAGCCCTTTCTGTCGTGTGGGGGTGGGAAACAAGAAGAGCCAGCCGTCCCCGGCTACAAGTGACCAGCTTGATCCAGATAAATATAGGTTGCAATGACAGCTATTGAGGTAAAATATAGTGTTTAATACTTCACCAACTTAGCAGATCTTGGGCCAGTGGATGAATCATCTATTCAGAGGATAATCGTACAGAGTTTGACATCTAGCATGGATCTCCTTGTGAAGATGGCAGCCTTTATTAATTCCCTATTATCTTGTTTTCAAGCCCTGTATCATTTTCATTGTTTTGCTGGGTTGAGTTTTATTCTGTTTTGTTTTGATTTTATTATATCTAATGGCATGGCAGCTATTTCAAAAATAATAAGATATATTATGGTAACCATTTTGGACTATTATCTTGTTTTAAAGTCCTTTATTGCATTCACAGTTTTATTTTTACTGGTTCTATTCTATTCTGCTCTGTTTTGTTTGATTTTTACTATGTCTAAAGGTATCTATAGCTATTTTGAAGACAACAAGGGGCATTATGAGAACCATTGTTGATTTCGTATTGTTTTGAAGTCCTGTGTCACACTGGTTGGTTTTGACTGGCTTTATTGCATTTTATTTTGCTTGGTTTTATTCTCTTTAAAAATAAAAATAAAAATCACTATAAACATTTTCATAAATATCCATCCCAATTTCTCAGTAGATAAAATGCATAAATAATGATTTATAAATTTTAGTAGTTCCATCTTCTTTATAAGAAGCCAAACTATATGTGCTCTTTTTAAAATCATCTTTTTCTTGGAAAGTCTGAGCTGAAAGTGTTCCTGTATGAATAAATATTGAACTGGAATGTAAGCTGGATCTTTGTATTATTTACTATAATACATTTATTTGTAGAACAGAGTCTGTCACATACGATACACTCTAATATTTGTTGAGTGATGAAATGAATAAATTACATCACCATTTTCAACAGCTGAATGGTCTTATGCACTTAAATATTTGTTGAATGATACAGTGAATAAACTATATCATCATTTTCAACATGAGAGTATGGAATATGCCAGAGATAACAATGCTTCCTACTAGAAATTTAAGTCATTTCCAACTTTATACTATTATAAATGATGGCATGCACATATATTTTGTACATTCTTATGATTCTCTCCTTTAGAATAAGTTTCTAGAAGTGTGTTCACTGATTTAAAAAGAATGACTAACTGCTCTCAGAAAGTACCAGTTAGACTTTCTTCAATAATGTAATAATTTGTTTGCTTTTTCCTCATCTCAACACTGGATATTGCCTGTATTTTCTTCGTTGTCAGTATTCATGTTTTTGGTTACTGGTGAGGCTGGACATTTTTTAATGCTTTTACTCATTTGTATTTCTTTTATGAATTGCTTATTTAATGTTCTTTGTCCAAATTCCTGTTAAGAATATTCATCTTTTCTCTGATTTATTTTTATAACTTACATCATATATTATGTTTCCCGATATATCTTATAACCTGGTTTGTTTTTGCCATTTAAATTTAAATTTTTTTACCTAAATCACAGTGATCATTTGTTAATGCATTTGACACTATTCATTCTAAGTACCTCACATTAAACTAGATATTAAAATATATGAAAATTTTTCATGAGTTTCTTTGTTATAACTTCATTTATTTATTTATGCAGATTCTAGTTAATTCTCAGATTAAAGTAAAAATGTAAGATACATTTGATATTTTTTCAAAAAAAGGGACAATAACTGCTACACTATTATAAGGAGCATTTATTTTATGGCATGCACTGTGCTTTATTACTCCTACTTTGATTTAAGTTGTATTACTACCTTCATTTTACTGAAAAAAAAAACTGTTTGCCAAAGTGAAGTGGTTTTATTACAGGCAACAGAGTTAGAAGTATTATGGGCACTCAGACAGGGCTGGGTCCTTGAAGGAACCAGCGCAGAAGATGAGACACCTTCCAACTGTGGGAGAGACAGACACCTCTGCTGTGGGCCAGACCTCAAGACAAAAGGTAAATCCAATGTATCTAAGGATAAACATCAGGGATTGATAGTCTAACTAGGTCTCTGTCACCTTGAGGAAGCCAGGAGTCACCATCCCCACCCCCTGTAGGGGGGAAGAGTCGCTGCTCTTCAAGCATGCTTGCTTGCTACATAACTTGCTTCCCCATTTGTCCCTAATTTAATCAATTGTACCTGAGCAATTATACTCATAATCTTACTGGTTAGCCATAGTTCTGTCCCACATCAGGCCCATCTTGAGAGTTCCCATGTTTTTCCCACCTTAAACCTGCCTTACTCTGTGATTTTGCTCTTTATATAAAAGTCCTTAGAAAAGATCTTTGGCAACCCACTCAGGGCCCCTTGTGTGTCTCTCAGACAGAAGCTTTCTTTCTCTCAATAAATATATTCTGCCTATAACCTCTGTTGCTCCTAAAATTCATTCTTCAATTTTAGAGAACACGAAATTATACCTGGCATCTAGTAGATTATTTTCATTCCCCTATATCAGTTTGACTAACGTAACAGAACTAATAAATGGTAAGGCCAGGACTCAAAGCCAAACAGTCTCCCTTTAGAGACCATTTTTCTACTCACTGTGCCATAACTGTTTCAAATGATCAAAAATTACTGTCATGGTTTATGTCTGTATCCCCCACGCCTCGTGAGTTTGCATTGTGTATTTGTGATTGGTTCATTGTCTAGTGCTTGGAATTATGCTGTCAGTTCTACACTCACCTAGGGGTGGAGTCAGGATGTGATGTAATGGCAGGAAGAAAGTGTGTCTTTCTCTTTGCTGGTTCTGGCTTGCTGTTTGCAGCTGCCATGAACTGTAGCCCAGCCATTCCCGCCTGCCTTGGAGCCAACTGAGTATGGACTGAAACCTCCAAAAAAACTGTAAGAAATAAACCTTTCCTTTCCCACTTTGGGCTTCAGGTATTTTGTCTCAGCGACGAGCATAAAGTAACTAAGACAGGAATTTGGTACCAAGGTCGTTTGCTGTGACTATATCTGACCATGTTTTTCAAGAGGCTTTGGAAATGGCTTGTGGGTGGAGTTTGGAAAGGTTTGGACATGTCACCTGGATGCACAGAGCTGGAGCAGCTTAGGCTGTTCTGTAGAGGAGATTCTGGTCAGAGCTCAGGAGACCAGAAGGCTGATAGCCTCATGGTAAACACCAGGCTTGGGAGGTTTCTGCTGGGAAGAAGGACTGCATTGGTTGTTGGAATCCACATGATGTGTGTTATGGCTTGGCAGAAAGTTTGTCTGCATTTTGCTCCTGCCCAGAGACTTTGCCTGAGACCGAGACAAAGGGCATGGACTGATTAATCTTGAAAAAGAAATTAAAAAGCAATTGAACATTGAGGCTGTGTCATGGCTATTGTTGGGGCTTTCAGCCAGCTTCATGTTTCAAATCAGGAGCAAAGAGCCCAGCAGGATAATTCACAATGCTGTGAGTTTGGCCAGAAGGAAAATTCCAGGAAGGCTGTGGATTGTAAAGTCAGAGTTGAGATTTTGATTGTTGATGGGAAACAGAGAGATAAGAAAGATGGCCCAGGGGCATCCCAAGAAGTGGGTCCCCATCCTTTGCAGCCTCACGCAAAGGTGAAAGAATTTGCTCAGAGAAAAAAGCTACAGAGTGCCATGCTCCAGAATGGCAACAGAGGCCAAGTGAGGTTCCAGAATGGCGACAGAGGCCACATGAATTTCCAGGATGGTGGCAACACAGAGAAGCTTTTTGTCACAATCAGGAAAACAGCCCTGCAATCCAGGCAACTGACCCCCTACAGCCAAGAGAGAGAAAAGCCTGGCTACTGCTTCAGCTAGCAGCAAACCTTGGTGGCATCCACAAGGTGCTGATTTTAGGTGCAAGGAAAATGCACGAATTCTGAGGGTAAGACAGCTTCCACCTTGATTGCAAAGGGCCTGGGAGGCCAGGCAGTGTGCCCCTGAGAGGGCAATTTGTGAAGATGTAAGGTGCAGTGGAGACCCCAGAAGTTTGGAAAAGCCAGGAATGTGGGTGATCCAAGGAAAGCTGCAAAAAGCGAGCAGAGAGAATTTAAAAGAAAAGCTGCGGGAGTTGAAATCACTGGAAGTGCCGTGGGGGTGGAATTACCCAAGCCTTTTAGAGCTTGCAACCAGATTGCTTTAGATGCTGAGCATGAAACTCTAGGACTTAATGTTTGTCCTTCTGGATGTTGGATTTGCTTTGTTTCCAATGCTTTATATTCCCCCGTTTGTAACTTTTGGAATGGTAATGTTTATCTTGTGCCTTTGCATTTCAGAAATGTTTAACCTTGTTTCGTTTGTACAGGGGCTTACAGTTAAGAGTTTGCCATAGATCTTGGAGGAGCCTTGGACTTTTCAGCAATGCTGAAGCTATTAGGACTTTGGCAATTCTTGGAGGTGGACTAAATGTCTTTTGTATAAAGGATGTACATGAGTCCTGGGGGCCAGGGGTGGAATGTCATGGTTTATGTCTGTGTCCCCCAGGCCTCATGAGTTTGCATTGTGTATTTGTGATTGGTTCATTGTCTAGTGCTTGGAATTATGCTGTCAGTTCTACACCCACCTAGGGGTGGAGTCAGGATGTGATGTAATGGCAGAAAGAAGGTGTGTCTTTCTCTTTGCTGGTTCCAGCTTGCTGTTTGCGCCCAGCCATGCCCACCTGCCTTGGAGCCAACTGAGTGTGGACTGAAATCTCTAAAAAAACTGTAAGAAATAAACCTTTCCTTTCCCACTTTGGGCTTCAGGTATTTTGTCTCAGCAACGAGCATAAAGTAACTAAGACAATTACCTTGTAGTTATTAGTGGAATGGCTTACATAAGGTCTTTTATAGCCATCAGACCATGTCAATATATCCACTATGCATTGTGACAAAGTAACACTACTATCATTAGTTGATAGATAAAATTGAGGCTCAGAGAGTCATGCCCACTATTACCTAGGGAAACCTATGTTTGCAAAGTAACAGTTTTTTCAAAGCATGTTTTGTGTTACAAAAAAGTCATGTTTCCTACATTAATTTTTTCTATACTCACCCATTCATTTCACAGTTTTCCTGTATTCATTTTACTATTCCCACCTGACAGTAACATTTTGAGCAAACACCTGCTACTTTTTGGTCATCCTTCCATTTTCCAAATTAAAATAAATACATGTGTAAAATTTATTATATATATTAAGTCATACCAGTATGTTTATTGTATAAAATGAGAGTATTTAAAAGTAGCTTGGCATGGCAACATGTACCTATAGTCTCAGCATTTGGGAGGCCGAGGCAGGAGAATTACTTGAGTCTTAGAAATCTGAGATGAGAATGGGCAACATAGCAAGACTCACCTCCCCCAAACAGTACTCAAAATGTGAAGTCCTCAGGATTACTCTACAATTGCTTTTCAAATATTGGTATTTTGTACCTAACCCTGTTAGTTGTTACCAATTAACAGGTATGGCTGAATGAGACGGTCAATTAAGGACATATTTCATTTCCATAATCAAGTACAAAATGTATGATACAAACATCTGGGATTTCCTGGTCAAGTGAAGCTAGGCTGACCAGTTTGTGACTTGTAAGTTTCATGATATTTCATACTCTAATTTTAATACTAAAAATGCTGGTATAAGTTATTTGTTCTTTCATTCATTCATTTCTTGTTTTTAACCAATATATAATGATTAACAATTGAGCATGTCTTGGATGCTAGTAGAAGTGTTTATGAAACATAGATGAATAAGGTAGATATAATCTTTGAAGATCTCCATCAGCCAGGACGGCAGATGCATGAACTTAATTATTGGTCAATAAAAGTGTGATTTATGAGAAGAAGGAACATAACTGCAGTGGATACTACTTGTGTGGCCTAAGAGAGCCAAAGGAGCCATCACACAGAAGAGATGATGTGAACTGTAGCCTGAGAGATTCAAAAACAAGTCTGAGATCTCCAGATGATTACTGAAAGGCCACGTAAATCCTTATTTTGTAACTTTTCTAGTAGTTCCTAACCCAAATTCTTCTACAATTCCCACATATAATGTACCTTTTGAAAGTGTGATTAAATCCAAAATAAATTGCCTTACCTTTACAAGTTTTTCATCATCTATGACTGACAATTTCTTTTTTTGCTTATTGTATTCTTGTCTTCTCTCTAAAACACTCATAATTTTTTCATCAGTCAAATTCTTCCTAAATTCACAAAATTGTGGCCAAAATTTAAACAGAACCCCAAAAATTGTCATCTGTGTAAAAGAAAAGTATGTCTCAGGTTAGAATTTTATACAAATGTACCTATTTAAACTCTAATTCACCATAATAATAGATTAAATATTCTATCTTTAATACACACCATGTTTCCTCCAACTTATTGTCTCCAGACTTCTCAGTACAGTTCAGCTCAGCACATGCTTATCATCAATGTTTTTATTACCAATGAGAAGACTTTCTTTAAAAAGAAAAACATACACCAAATACTTAAAAGTCACTTTATTCTTTGTTTCCCTAACCAATTGATTGTATTAATAAAGAATCCATTAGGTCTTTTTTAAATAAGAAATTTATGTTTTCTTTTAAAACCTATACTAGTTGATCTGCCACACACTGCAGTTTATGCAAGTATTCCGAGTATTCAGTTCTTCAAGAGAAACTCCCCCACCCCTTTTTCTTTCTTTTAGAGAAAGGAAATACCATTTTGCCTCTGGAAAAGCTCTTAAACAAAGCTGCAGATCTAAGAATAAATCTCTGAGTAACTTTTAAATGATATAATCTCTCTTTTATGTGAAAGCAAGGAAAGTAACATTTAAAAAGCCAAATGATATCCTAGACAAATGCCTTCTACGAGGACACTTTACATTAAGTGATTAATTGTGATATTTATGGAGATAAGAATGTTGCTCTAATTCCTATGCCAAGTTTTCCCATTAGTTCCAGAGGTATACATTACTTTCAAGGAGGTAGGACTTGCCACATCAAATCAAGTCCAACATCGTGTGACTAGGAATAGCCTCTACCTAATGCTCTGAGGAAAAAAAAAAAAAAAAACAAAAAAACAACTAAACCATCCCATTAGGCTCTAAGTCAAACTGTTAGGGAAAAAGAGGAAAAATTTTGAAGGCAAGTGCTGCAGTGATTGACAGAGTCCTGAAGTGCCATAGTTCATTACTCCTCTTTTCCATACATGAATGTTATTAGTAAATCTAAAATTATTTACTCCCTTTAAAATGCACTTCTATTATTGAATCCTATAGCCTCTTGAGAGCAGATGGTAAAGTCTAAAACCATACTTTATTGGATGAAGCAAGCTTTTAAGAAATGTTCATTTATATTTACCTGCCATATATTTAATTAAGTAAATCCCCCTTTCCAGTGTTAAGGAATCATAGTTATTATGTATTTCTGAAACTTAACTAATACTACTCTTTTATTTACTAAATATTGGCTATCCTCAGTTCTGTTTCCAAAATTCAAGCCATCTCCAACTCTCAAATATAGGTACATATTTACATATGGAAGGCCTAACTCTTGTGAAGTTACCCAATTATGTAGGATACACTGTCTCAGTGGAAGGCATAAAAATGCTCTATTTCAGAGGACTTCTGGGAGAACATGGCAGATAGATAGCAGCAGCTATGGAGGCTCTCTGAGATACCCCACTTAAGAGTCCAGGAATGGTGCGGTGCGAGGAGTCCTAAGGAGGGGAAATGTACCCTGCCCACCCAGGAGCAAACTAAGCTAATAGAAACCAATTGGAAACACAATCCTGGTGCTATAACAGGAACAAGTAAGGTCTCAGAGTGGAAGCTGGAGCCTGCACCGCTGGAAGCCACGATTTGAATTTCCTGCTGCTGCTGCTGCGTCTGAATCGGCATAGCAGGGAGAGAGACGCACAAAAACTCTGAGAGCGGGAACTGGGGAACAGAGTTCAGAGCGGAACTGGCAGGGAGCCCTGCATCGATGTGCAGTGAGTGAGCAGAACAGGGACCCTTCCATAGAGTAGGAGGCTTCAGCCAAGGACATACAGGGACTGGGCAGACTTGCCGGAACAGGACACTGCAGTGACTTTAGTCACATATTCCCCTCTCAAGCGGGATTGGTGGGGAGTGCCTGGCCTGGGTGACACTGCTGACTAAGACCCAGTAAGCTAGCCCAAACCAGGTCCCAGTGCCTGGAGGTGCACCCTAGCAGTGAAGCCTTGGGTAGGTTGACCTGGAGGGGCAGGCCCAGCAGAGGCTGCCCAGGTCTGTGTCTCCCTAGTACACTGTAGTGGGCGGGAACACCTAGCTGGTGCAATTCAAACAAACTGTAAAAGACAAAGAGAAAAAAAAAACTGGGCCTCCTATATACACTTGTATGGAAGGAACATAAAGTATGGGAAGAGGAAGCAACAAGAAAGGGTCCTCAGTTCCGAATCCTGAAAACACTGATCCAGGAAAGGTGAATGCAAAGGAGAATGAGGAAAGAAAACATGCAATATCAGACACGGCACCAATAGACATAAAGTGATAACTCCGGAATCTCATAGACGAGTTCAAAAGCAAAGTATTTAATGAAATAAAGCAAGATATAAGTAGAATAGTTAGAGAAATACTAAGCACTACCCAAGAAAAAACAGATGGTGGAACGGGAGAACAGAAAAAAAGGGGAGAATTGTTTGATGGAGAAAATAGAGAAAACATAGAATACATGAAGCAGGTTCAAAGAGATTACCAGGAAACTAAAAACTCTATCGAAAGCTGGCATAACAGCTTGAAAGAAACTAAGGATAGATTATCTGAACTGGAGGGCAGATTTGTAATGTGGGAGCATGAAATGAAAAACTTCTTAAAAATAACAAGAAAACAAACAGCAATAATACAAAGGCTAGAAGATGATAAGAAGATCTATAACTTAAGAATTAAGAACATAAAAGAAGAAGTAGGGACACAAACAAATGGACTACAAAAGCTATTCACAGAAATAATCCAAGAGAATTTCCCTAATTTAGCAAAAGGTAAAGATACTCAGATGTGTGAGGCATAGAGGACCCATGCCACCTACAACCCAAACAGAGCTACACCCAGGCATATAATAATCAAAATTCCAGAAATCCAATATAAGAACAGAATATTAAAAGCCATCAGAGACAAGAAACAGATCACTTGCAAGGGAATACCCATCAGAATTACAGCAGATTCTCGGCACAAACCATCAAATCACTAAGAGCATGGGGGGAAATAATTCAAGCTTTGAAAGATAATAACCTCCAGCCAAGATTGATATATCCTGCACAACTGTCCCTAGAAATTGATGGAAAAACAAGATGACTCCAGGATAAAGAGGAACTAGGGGAATTTGCAACCACCAATTCAACTCTACAGAGAATACTGCAGGATATTTTAAAAAAGGAAAATACCAAGATCCCAGAAACAGTGGCACAGAGGCCACAATGAATGGAGCAGAAAGCAAAATGAAGAAGACAAACTGACAGCTACTGACAGAAAAAGAGCTCAACAGAAATGAGGCAGAGAAGGTTGGATGCTAGGAACAGCCATTTTGGAGATAACAAGACATCATAATAGGTAGTACTGATTTAATATCCTCTTGTTTTGAAGTCCCATCACGCTTTTGTTCTTCTGTCTCCATCAGTTTTAACCTGTTGTATCTTATTGGATTTTATTATATGTGATAATATAAACAAAAACTTTTATAGACAAGGAGATTATACAGAAACCACTGTTCATTTTCTGTTAGTTGATTCTAAATACCCTGTAATACTGTCATTCTCTTGAATGGTTTTACACTGTCTTGATATGTTTGGTGCTACAGTATACGAAGTTATATTCAAAGATTTCAAGGAAAGAGACACTATGGTAACTACTTTTATGTCAGGCTATCTTGTGGTGAAACACTATTTTGCTTAAATGTTTATGCTTTGACCTGCGCTGTTTTGTTGTTATGTCCTCTTTTATCTCAATCTCCTTTTTTAAATTACTTTTTTATTTTTATCTTTTTAATTAAGGGAAAAATAAAAAATAGCAGGATACATTATAGTAACCCACTTTGATTTCCTATTAACTTGATTTGAAACCCTGTATTGCCCTCACCATCTTGTTTTGACTGATTTTCCCCTATTCTGCTTTGCTTGATAGTACCAAGTTCGAAAGTATAGGCAACAACTGTGAAGACAATAAGATTCATTATGACACCCATTCTGGTTGACTATTATCTTCTTTTAAAGTCCTGTAATGTCTCCAATGTTTTTGTTTTATTCTTTACTGTTTTGTTCAATTTTATTATAACTGATGATATAGACAACTCTTTTTAAGATAGCAAGAGGCAGTATGGTAACCATTGTTGATCACCTAGTATTTTGTTTTTACATTATCTATTATGCCCATCCTTTTGATTTGACTGACTCTGTTCTGTTATGGCACATTGGGTTTTACTCTCTTCAAAAAAAAGTAATAAGAACTGTGGGAGTAATAAAACCCAAAATGTGTAATTGTCATTGTACAAAAGAGAGGAAAAGAAAGTGCTCTAAAGGATATAACTGCATATATATTTAAGTGTATAAGACACATAACCATATTACTGAGTTTTGTTGGATCATTGAACAAAACTGTTTGCCATCTTACTGTTTGAAAGTCCACTTTATATGCTTTAATTTTGTAACTTGAACAACTATTTCTAAGATAACAATATGTAATCTATTAGTGATTCTATACTGTTTATTCTTTCTGAAATTCTGTATGACTTGTACCTTTTTTGTTTTTTTTTTCTTTTTCTCCTTAAATAAAATTTTTTTAAAATGCTGTATTTCCAGAAGATGCAATTGAGATTTTAGGTTAGTATCTGTCATTAATAAACCTCAGAACCTTAAGATTACCAAATTGTGGGTAAAAAATATTTTAATAAATATAAAACTACTTTGCTTATTGTTGCAGATGAGGGATGATTTTACTCTGAGTAAAGGAACCAGTAAAAAGTTGGCTGAGTGATAAAACTTTTAAAGCTACATGAACAATAAAGCTTTTCATTTAGTATTTCAGCTCTTTTGCTCAACTTTGCTTTCATTTTCAAAGTGATCTTGTTGTTGTTGACAACATGACAAATCTCTCATTTATTCACGTGGTCAAAAAATGCCTACTCAGGGGCTGGGGATTTAGCTCAGCGGCATAAGCGCCTGCCTTGCAAGCAGGCAGTCGTGAGTTCGATCCCCGGTACCGATAAAAAAGGAAAAAGACCAAAAAAAAAGCCTACTCTGATCTACTCTGATGCCGGATCACAAAGATATAAAACATTTCGTACCCTCAAAAAGCTTACAACCTAAAGGCAAAGTCAGACACAAGAACATACCATTTTATTTTTTTTATTTTTTTATTTTTTTGTCTTTTTATCGGTACCAGGGATCGAACTCACGACTGCCTGCTTGCAAGGCAGGCGCTTATGCTGCTGAGCTAAATCCCCAGCCCCAAGAACATACCATTTTATGTGGTAAATGTTATGAGAGCAACTTAGGAGGGAGAAAAGATGCGAGTACACAAAACTCAGGAGGAAACCCAGGGCCTTCCTGAAGTGGAAGACTGGGGGACAGCAGGGAGATGCAGGAGACGTAGTTGGGCAGGTATGTATGTAGGAAGAACTTCATCAGAGGGCAGTGGAGGACAAGTGGAACATTTTAAGCACAGAAGCTGTGTGATCAGATACATATTTTGAAAAAAGATTGCTCTGTTTGCAGTTAAATTGAATGAACTGGAAAGAACCCAGAGGCAGGGAGTTTGGTAACTGGTAAGAGATCTGCTGCAGACCTGAAGTAAGGTAGAGGGGTGCTGTTGGAGAAAAATGGGCCGCGTGACAGGTAACAAGGGGACAGATGGATTCATTTGAAGGACTGTTTAGACATGAGGGTAAGGAAACAAAGGTGAGGAAAGACATGAAAATGGTAACCAGATCCTTGGCTTGAATATCGTGTAGAAGGGGATGCCAGGACCCTCAGGAAAGCAGGAAGAGTAAAAGATTGGGGGGATGCAGTCCCCAAATAAAGCTTTTGTATTTTCAGATGCTCTAGCATCGATGTCTGTGACTGTTTTAGGAAATCAGGTACACTTCATTGGCCACCGATAAAGCAAGTGGCTACCGTCCCTGAAGAAGGTGTCAGGACCAACCAGCACCAGCAGCTCCAAACTCCTACCCATCAAACGTGAGCTTTAAAAACAGAGGAGCAAGTCCCGTCTTAGTTTATCAGGAACCCTAGGCAAGACTAAATTATCCCTAATAGATGTTTTCATTAACAGATTCTATAATTCTGGCACAATGTTTTCTCTATTTCTCTCTAACACCTCTTCAATCATACTTCTATATTTTTGCCTGTTTTAATGCATAATTTGGATTGCGAGTCCACTTTCAGTTCCTTAGAGGACTTAGAACACAGCTGGCTCACAAATGGACATTAAGGAATAATGGCCTTTTTCCATGCTCAAGGGCAATCATGTTCTAAATCTCTGTTTCATATCACTTAATTCATGACATGGCCTTCCCTATTACCCCCAGTATAATTTATTTTTCTTAATCATTTTTTAGGAACAACATCACTAAAAGGCTTTTCAAAATGCAAATAAATTATGTTCACCAAGTCAATGTTTTCTATTATTTATCTTAAAAAGAAGTAACTTGAGCAGGTTAACAGCCATGATTTTCCTTTCATGAGTTTGTGTACTTTATGTTGGTTGAATAGTTAAATCTCCTCTCACTTATTTTATGAGCTATGTGAATATTCCAATCTTTAAAAATATACAAATCTTAAGACACACATACTTTACACATTTTTGTGGTAGCAGATATTTTAAAAAGACATATGAATGGTGGGAAACAGAGGTGGCATGAGCTTTGTTAAAAACAAAAATGGTAATCAAAAAGTTAGTGTATTATTTAATTTTATTTGCTGTATATTGTCATCAACAAAATAACATGTTACTAGTTTTGTGTTGGTAGCATATAGAAAGATTAAATTATATTTTAACTTTTTATTTTTTTACTAGTATTTTTCTGATAAATAATAAACACATTCATCATGAGGAATTGGTACATGTATGTATTGACTCTTAATCCTTTTTATTTCCCCTTTCCCCATCTACCCCATTCCCAGACCCCCTTTCATCTCCATAAAGTCTATCTCCCTATTTCCTATCATTTTTTTGTTGTTTTGCTTTTTAAATTACTTATAATTCTTTTACTCAAGAAAGAGAAATTATGCAATATTTTACCTGTATCTGATTTATTTCACTTAGCATTATGGTCTCAAAGGGCATCAAGGGTTTCCTAAAAATTACGTAAATTTATCTTTCTTCTCCTCTTCCTCCTCCTCTTTTCTTTTTTCATTCTTCCTTTTCTTCTTCTTTTTCCTCCTCCTCCTCACTCTCCTTCTCCTTGTTCATGATAGGCTCTCACTATGTAGCACAGGATTAGACTTAAACTCACCATTTAGCCCAAGCTGACTTCAAACTCACTGCAAAACTGCCTCAGCCTAAGTGTTGGGATGACAGGTGTTCACTGCCATGCCCGGCCCCTCAAATTTATCCTTCTTTACAGCTCCATTGTGTATATATTCCATATTTTCTTTATTGGTTCATCTACTGATGAGCATATAGGCTGCTTCCAAAAGATAATTTAAATTAAATAGAATAAATTCTAGTATTGGGAAAATTCAAATCCTGCCAAATATGAGTAATGTAAAACTTTAAAAGAAAATCTAGATTGCTAGTCTCTCAAAATATGCTTAGCCATATGAACTGGTATCTTACCTGTGCTTCTCTAAATATATACGGTCCTAACTCCTTCCTATGTTCAATAATCTTCTGTGCCTGTTCTACTGGAATGTCAATCTGTAAGGCTGGAGGAATACAGGAATTAATGAAGCAGTTGATAATAGTTGTGATCTTCTTCTGGATGACAGACTCATCACAATGAGAATGGCACAAATCCTGAACAAGGAGCAAAACACAAAGAGTATGATTGCTGCATTGGTAGTACACTTTACAGAACAGTGTCAATATGTATTCCAGTTGATACGTGCATTTTAACTTTAAAAGAGCACTGGGACATGTCAAGGATATCTTTTTAAAAAGTCAGCTTTTCTTTCTTTTCAATTTGAAGAAACTAAGACTCTGACATATATGCCTTACATAGACACAGACGTCTTTTAATCCTGCTCACTTGTTTCTCTAGACCAAGGGGCAACAACTTTAGTGCCTACTTTTACTCATTGAACAACTATATATTGAGGTCCTACTCCCTACCAGACACTGAGCTGAGCCCTGAGAGACAGCCTAAACCCCTGAAAGCATCAGTCTCTGCTGGAACAGAAGCATGAAAACACATTATTCAGAACTGAGTTAGTTTTTAAACTATTTGGAGTGCAGGAATATAACAGGTCCTAGGAGAGCATGGCGAATGGGCGCTTAATTCAGCTTACAGGTGATGTCTGTGGAAGCTTTCCTTCCCAGACCACTCTGCACAAAGTGCCTCAGGCCGGGAAAGGCCACCACAGAAAGAGGGCCTGCTGGTGGAGAACAGGTGTCTCGTATCGTTTTGTACCTAATGTTCTTCCAGTTGTCCCATCACATTATCCTCTTTTAAGTTTTTTATTACAGATAAAGAACTTGAAAATAATGACCGTACATTAAAATGATCTATTTTTAAAGCCACAGATGTAGGATTCTTCTTTTCTTAATAAAGAGATAGCTTAGCATTTTGCTTTCAAAGACACGTTTCTAAATCAGTTGAAGCAAACCAACTTGATGACTTCTCATTGTAGGCCAGAAATGAGCCAAAATGTATGTGTATGTCAGCCCAGTGTATGTCAGTCATTGTCTTACGGGTACCTATCTTACGGATGTTATTAAGGATACAAAAAGTTCTGATATCAGTCATGTAAAACATTCTGCATGTCTGACAAGAGTTCTATATGAAAAGCTTAATGTGAACGTTGCACTGTAACAACAGTTAGCACTTCTCGGTTTACCTTCACCTCAAAAAAACCCTGTTCATACCACACGTTTGGGATGTGACCACATAAGCATTATTTGGAATTAATAGTGAGACTACCATGCCCACCAATTATCTGATGGGCCTGATTTATAATTATAAAATATGTTCTTTTGAAATAAAAACAAACTTATGAAGTTATGAAGTATTAACTTTGTGTAAAGGCATAGAATTTACATAGAATCATAACTGATTTTTTTTTCCTAATTGTTTTACCCTATCATGCCACTAGCCCAGCTAATTCTTGAAGTCTGTAATTAAGGTCCTGGTTTAAGCATGTCTCCCAAGAGTGAGCTTTCTGTAACCTGCTTGATCTAGAGGAGACATGCATTTTACCTACCGCCGTAGCATCCTGGGCTTTCTCAGTTACCCTAATCCCACTCTTACGTCACCTTGTGGACCAATCATTTGCCTCTCATCTTGACATTCTATAAGCTCCATGAGAGATGATTATTTTGATAATTGTTACATCATCAGGATTTAGCCTGGCCCTTGGCAGGAGCTCAATAAGTATTTGTTGGATGACTATATTCTTTTCATCTTTGCACACACACACGCACACACAACTCATATTTTTATTAACTCATACTGTTTTCTAGTAGTTAGTTTTAAAGAAACACCTTTTCCCATCATTGACTATTCCCCACCTACAACATGTTATACCATAGAAAAAATACTAAAATACCACAGACAACTTGCAGCCACAAAATAAAAGTTGACTCTATGGGTCTTTTCCAAGTATTTGTTTTTAAGGTTTCTCTCAATGCCTCTTAACCTAGCAGGGTTGGGGTTAATCATGTTCATATTATCTTAAAGATAATTCTGCCCACTCATACTGGAAACCTGCCTATTGTGGAAATAGACTTCTTGCTTCCTAATTCTCAAAAAACTTTAAAAAATGTTATTTGTGTGAAAGATGGTGAAAAACTTTCCCTGCAATTTTTTTTCTGTTACAGTCAGAGCTGAGAACAGTACAACAGTTGGTAACAGAAAAGGGGAGAAATAGTTTCATGGAATGTTGGAGAAGACTTGGGTTTATTGAGCAGTCACTAACTACATACTAAGTAACTGTCAGTGCAGCATAATACACACTTAAAACTTACTCATAAACTCTAGTAACACTTTTAAAAATAGGCTACTTGCAGGGAAGTGGGCCTGTACCCCTAAGAGCGTGTAAACCGTAGGTGCTTGAAGACATTTTCTGTTTTGTTTTGTTTTGCCACAGGTTCTCTCTATATAGTTCTAGCTGGCCTTGAGCTCACTATGTAGCATGGCACTGGCCGGAAACTCACATTAATCCCACACTAGGCAACCACGCCTGCCTACTTGAAGACATTTCTTTACTGCCATCTAGATAGTGTAATGGGAAACATCCCTTCTCCTAAAAGCAAAGATTCTATATGAATCTACTAAACACTTAAACCTGAAAAAAAGTACTGTCTTTGCACCTAACCCATTGTTCTTATTTATTCATTTATTTATTTTGGTTTTTTTTTTTTTTGAGACAAAGTTTCACTATGAATTTCAGGCTGACCTCAAATTGCCTATGTAACCCAGGCTGGCCTCAAACTCATAGCAATCTTCCTGCCTCCGCCTTCTGAGTGCTGGTATTATAGGCATGCACCACCATGCCTAGATCCTTGTTCTTTTATTTAAATTTGTCTATTTTTCTAATAAAAAAAGCCTGTCTCAACTTTTTTGATTTATCTACAAATATCTTTAACTGCCATTGTTATAAATATGGCTTGGAGGAATACTTATATAGAAGTCATAGTTACATGGATGTACTAAATACAGGTATCTTTGAGAAAAAAAGTGTAGTGCATTTTCATGGTACATACATGTCATATATATACATTCATTATATTTATTCTATATGTGATTCAGATATGCAGCTAAAACTCAAGAAATACTGTACCTATTAGGTCATAGTGCATGTTAATGCCTTAAAAAACCAACACTAAAAAGCAAACAAACACACGAACAAAAAAATCCAATACTATCATTTTAGGGCTCACCCTTACTCTTCACTTTATATTACAAGTCTATCTAAAAATGAACAATAAGCATCTCAAAATTTAAGAATAGGTTTGAAGCTGGCAAAACTGGGATAGCTTATGCAAATCTTGTCCCCCTAAAGCTGTCATTAAGAATCTGATATGTTAATGAGTTTCCTCCTCAAAATTTTACCCAGCCTCCAATACATTACCTTATATTTTTGCACTTCTTGCCAAAAGAGTACTCCATTTCCCAATAAATCTCCTTTTAGAGTCACAAAATGTTGAAACTGTCTTGCAGTAACGGGATTCAATAATGCTTTTCGAAAAGCAATAATTTCACAAGATGAAGATATCCACTTACTCTCCACAGGCTGTCCAAAACAGAGAATACACAGAATGAGCTACAGTTTAAAATACAAAAATAAAGTCACAATTAGGCTAAATTACCAAGTTCTATTTCCTTTAATTATGACTGTAGAAATTTGTGGCACTTGGCAACTTTTCACTCTGTTCCTCTCCTTTTTATCTCCTTTATATTTTTATGGCATCATTTTTTAAAACAAGTACAGAAAAAAGAAAGAACTGACTGGATGCTTTAGGACATATGACAACACTGTTTAAGAAGTTGTATGACCACGGTGAAAAAGTACTTTTTAGTACATAGAATGAGTTCTGTGCTGAAGCGGAACAAAGTAACCATAATATTATGATTACCATTACATTACCGTTTATTTTATTATTGCATAATTCTCCTGTGTTTTAAAAAGTAAAAGTAGTTGAATAATTGAGACAGGTTTTCATATTTTAGAAAAAATATAAATTAATTCTAATTTAAATAGAAAATTTGCTGTGGTACTTTGTTAAAATACTATGCTAAAGAGATCATGATTTTAGGTAAGACATTTTATATTACTTAATAATAAATTATGACTGATAATTACAATAATCATTTGAATAACAAAATTCCTCTATTTACCTAACAAAATCCAGAAATATCCATGGTGTTTTAGTAATGTTTAAGGGTATTTTTATCTATACTTATATCTTCATAATTTTGAAATGTTTCCTTTTTTACTTTGATCACTTAAACTCACATATCCAATTCCTTTTACCTTCTCAGATTCAAAAAATGTAAGAAATAGATTTTATTAAATTTACCAAATAGATTTTAATTTTATTGAAGTTATCCAAATTGATTTCAGTGTACAAGCATACAAAGAAGCATCCTTCCAAAGGCAACATTTTAGATGGACTTACAAATTATATTAATGATTAAATTACATGAAAAATATCCATTACTGACAATGCATAAAATAAATTCCTTGAAACAAATCATATGTGACCATCGATGCAAGTGTTTGAGAAAGCTATGTAAAGAGTGCTATGGAACACAAAAGAAGGAGTAACTAATGCTGCTCGGGAAAGTGAACCCTTTACAGGGGGGCCCTGAGGATGTTGCCCGAGGCGGCACTGAGAAGCGACAGCCACCCCAGGCCGGCTGGACGAGCGTGGTGCTGCTACTCAGAGAGTGCGCAGATGTGCATCACTGTTCCAGGGAGGCACATGTCATGTTCCCTGGACAAAAACTTAAGACCTTCACCATCTGGTCCTTATTAAAATTATAGCCCTATAAATAGGAACAACTATGGATTAGACTGGGATGTTTATTTAAAATCCACTCAACAAATAATGTTTTAAGACCTGTTTCTTAAGATACTAAAACTTAGTATTTTAACTAAAACCTGTAATTTAACTAAATAGAAAATAATGTAACATACAATGCACAATAATATAAGATACAACTGTATTCTACTAGTATTTTTACAAAAATATAGCAAAAAATATAGCAAAAAAAGATTTCTTTTCAAGAGGAAAATATAGAAAAGAGCATTCTAACATACATGCCTCTTCTAACATTCAAATTAAGTTTCAGTTTTGGTGTTTTGAGATAGGTCTCACTATGTAGTCCAGGCTAATCTTGAACTCACAGTGATTCTCCTGCCTCAGCCTCCTGAGTGCAGAGAATACAGGTGTGTGCCACAACATTCACTCTGTCATTTTTTCAGCAAGTCACCTATGTCTAGTCTGACATCTTATCATGACTGGTAAGAGAATACAGTACTTATAGCTCAAAAGGAAGATTATGTTCATCGTGCTTGTTAAGCAAAATAGGTAATAACTGCACTAGTGAGGTAGAGGTATCTAACAGTGATTTTAATGATTGCCAAAATGATACTTATTGTAATTCTTTTAAAGTTAAACTGCAATTCTAAATAAATGTGAGGTGACTTAAATTGCTTATCCTGCCTCACATTACTCATTGCTTTTGTGTAACCCACTGTAAATAAGTATACTACTATATGATGGAAAGAACAGCTTGACTCAATAAATCCATCACGAGCAAAATAAAGGGTTTTTTTGTTGTTGTACTGGAGAACAAACCTAGGGCCTCATGCAGAAAAATATATCTGTATCTACATCTGTCTGTTTCTCCTCTCTGTATTTGCAGTAGATAATGATTACACTCACTGCAGGAGATTGGTACATGTACATAACACATTTCAATTTCCTTCTTTGTCTCCCTTCACCCATCCCTTTTTAGTTTTCCAGCACTGAATTCTTTTATTTATAAGACCTTAAAAAGTTAATTATAAGGGGCTGGGGATTTAGCTCAGCGGCATAAGCGCCTGCCTTGCAAGTGCATGGTCATGAGTTCAATCCCTGGTACTGATAAAAAAAAAAAGTTTCAAAAAGTTAATTGTCATATATACAGAGCGAAAACCAGACAAATATGCCAAAGAATATATGAAACATGTAAGACAATTGTACTAAATGACAGCACACTTTTAGATACATTGTCTGCACTGGGTTACAATACCTCTTCCCTATTATGTGATATGTATCTGTATCTCTATATATTGACCAGTCAATATTAATATATATATAGAGAGAGGGAGGATTTTTCACATAAGAAAAACCATGTGATATTTAAGTTTGTGTGTCTGCATTACTTCACTTAACATAAGGTCTCAAGATATATCCATTTTCCTACAAATGATGTAAATTTACCCTTTTATGGCAGAGTAGTACTCTATTGTGTACAAATATGATTTTTTAAACCCATTCATCTGTTGGTAGACATATAGGCTGTTTCAAAGTTTTAGCTAGTATGAACTATGCTATTATAAACATGGGTATGTATACATTGCTGTGGAATGATGTCTCTAACTTTTGTTTTTTTGGTACCGGTGATTGAACTCATGACCTTGCTCTTGCCAGGCAGGTGCTTGTGCCACTGAGCTAAATCCCCAGCTGTCTTTAACTTTTGGGGGGAAAATATCTGGAAGGGGAATTGCTGGGTCAAATGGAATTTCTACTTTTAGTTTTTTGAGGAATCTCCATACTGATTTCATAGTGGTTGTATCAGTTTATAGTCCTATCAACAATGCAGAAGGGTTCCTTTCTCACCACAGCCTGGCTGGCATTTGTTATTGGCTGATTTTTTGATGGTAGCCATTGTTTCTGGAGCAGTGTTGTTTTAATTTGGATTTCTTGAATGGCCAGCAATGTTGAGCACTTTTGCATGTATTTATTGGCCTTTTGTATCTCTTCCTCTGAGAAGTGTCTATTCATTTCAGAGGCCCATTTTAAAACTGGGTCTTTAAATGAGGGGGGTCTATTTTTTTGAATTCTTTATGCAGTCTAGATATTAGCCCTTTGTTTGAGCTTCTGCATAGCAAAAGAAACCACTAACACAGTGTAGAGACACCATGCAGAATAGGAAGAATACAATATATATTTAAAAGTCAATCACACACTTCTAAGGTTAAAGAGGTCAAGAAACTCTTTAAGAGTTAAGAGTCACACTTTCCTCTAATTTCCACCTGCAAGTAAGAACAGTAACAGTTAGTTGGTTTAGCTGGTAGTGTCAACAGTGATGGCATTGGGCAAGCAAGAGAACAGCCAAGTGGAATTTACAACTGGAAGAATATAGTAGTTACTTGCCTTCCAGACCCCAATTTTCCCTTCATGCTTCTGTAGTAAAAGCTCATCTGCTATGTCCTTCATCTGTACCTAAAAGCAAAGCCAATCATTTTATTGTTATTTATACTGTCCAAAGTTTTAAAATAAATTACTAGTAATTTAAAAACTGAAGTGAAGTTAGGCATGGTGGCACACACCTGTAATCCCAGCACTTGGGAAGCTAAGGCAGGAGAACTTCTGTGAGTTCAAGGCCAGCCTGGGCTACAAAGTGAGTTCAGGGCCAGTCTGCACTGCACAGTGAAACTCTCTCAAAGAGACAAAAACAAACAAAAAAAAATTCCCACCAAAAAAAAAAAATGAGGTAAAGTTTAGGCTAGGTAAGAAAGTGCTGGTCAGGTAGCAGAGGATCAGGTCAGAAAGCAGAACCCACAGGCACGGCTCTGGGCACCACACGTTCTTGGAGCACAGTTTCTTTACCTAAATATAGATGACATCTATCTAATCATATTGGTCTAAATATGGATGCCTTTTTCACTCAGACTCACCCAGGAACTTAAGCTAGAAAGGTAATTAGGTCTTCTCAGATTTCTGTGTTATTTTTTAGGCATACTTTTCTGCAACTAATTTTAGAAGGGACCAAAGCTTGCTGTTGACACAGGGAAATACAGTAAGATAGTCTATCCTCCATATCTCTGGGCTTAACCAAATATTTTGAAGGAAAATATTTGGGAAAAGAAATCTGTGTCTATACTGAACATGTACAAACTTTTTTCTTATCTTCATTCCCTATACAGTACAGTATAACAATTTACATAGCATTTATGCTGCATTAGGATTTTACAAATAATCTAGAGATGCTCTTAAAGAACATGGGAAGATAGCGTAGGTCATACATAAACATGATGTTATTTTAAATGAGCAATTTGAACATCTTCAGATTTTTGAGATATCAATCCTGCATAGATAATATTTTCCCTTTCTGGGGAACTGCTTATGCCAAATGTATGCTCTGTGTCTCCATCTCCCTTCCCATAACAGATTGATCCAGGAGCTGAGCTAGAGAGTCAAAGACTAGGATCACTATGGCTGACTCTTCTTTCCCCACTTTCTTGAGGTGCTGGGTTTGAACCTAGGCTTCCCATATGCTAGGCAAGCCCTTGATCGCTGAGCTACAGTCACAAAACTGAGCCTTTTGATAGCCACAACCCAGAGAAAGTATCTGACTTCTTGTTGAGTTTCCAAGTCTGTCCGGGCTTACATTTTTTCTAAAGATTGGGTGTCAACTTTTCCCTGAATGCATGAGATTTTCAGAATAAATTCTCACCCTCTCCTTTTTCCTTTGGCTTAAGCTTGTTGCCAAAATCAGTTTTGCTGACCACCCAAATAATGCTAAGTCAGGAAATGACTACAAGTTACAATAAAATTACTGTGGTAAATATAATGAGAAGATGTGGTAAATAATATTAGTAAGCCAAATGTCTTTTTACTTAGCTTTGGAGAGAAAACTGGAGTTTCCCTGAAGAAAGAGAATGAGGAGATTTGAATTTTCCCAAAGCTTATTTCTGGGAACTTTTTGCCTAAAATGAGTTGGGCTCTTCTCCACACTATAAATTCTGTGTTCCCAGCTGTACTATGTTGCTTAGCTCAAAAAACTAAGGCTATTTCCAGATACGTAGGCCTCCAAGTGTCTCATAAATTCAATACAATGTAGAAGAAAGGTTTTTCAGGTTCTTCCTGAGCAGTATTAATGGCATGGAATACAATTGGATTTTTAAGCCTTTGTTAGTTTTGTAACTATCAGGCTTGCCTGTTTTGGGGCATGATAATGATATTGTAAATGATTGAAATAATACTTGCTTCATATAAAATAAAATAAAACAAAGCAAAAATTAAAACCCACTTCACAAAGTAAAAAATAAAAATCTTTCTTTAATCCCCACACTAATTTCCAGGAAGCAGAACATTTTAAATTTATTCCCTAAGTACAAATAAAATGATAGAGAGAAGGATGAATGGATGAATAGATAAACAGATTTGGATAACACAGGCATGATTACACAAAGAGAAATAGATATAATGGGATTGTCTTCTATGTATTGTTCTGCATCCTGCTTGTTTCACTCAGTAAGTAACATCTTTCATATCAGTACATGTGGAAATCTCATTTAGATAATCTGTTAGAGGGAAATAGTTGTTTTTCACTGGTAGTATGTAGTAGTTTTCCAGTAGAAGGATGTAGTTTTCCACAGTGCAATTGTAACTCACTTAACAATTCTCCCATATGACATTAAAATGAACATCCTTATATATCCTTGCCTGTTTGTGTAGGAACTTAATATTAAAAATAACAACTATGTTGATAGATAACATGTGCTTGCTGTGTGTCAGGCATCATGCTGAGAAACTAAACACACTAATTTCGTTTAATTTTCACAATAAACTTATGAAGCAATTTCTATTATTAGTTCCATTTTTCAAGTGAGGAGATTATAAAGTGGTGCAATTGATATGTAGCAGTGTTGACATCAAACTTTGGAAAGTCTGATTCCATCCTTTTAGCCACCATCTACAGAAGTACAATGGCTGGGTCAATAGTCAAAAGAGGATGCTGGTATACACTTCAGGTTTTGATAAGTACTGCCAATGGCCATCCAGAAATTATATTCATATATATACCTTTATCTTTTGTCGGGCTGCAAACTCTTCACTTGCAAGAAACAGTGGCAACCACACATTTTCTAGTCTGTTTAGGATATGCTTCTGAATTTCAATCAAAACAGGGGCATCAAGTTGTTCATGGAGAATCTTTCCCCAACCGCCACCTAACTCCATTATCTAAGCAAATAAAAATGAAAAAGAAACTAAAAATTTGTGCTTCATTAAAAAACACTAACAGTCGTTCATTCATTCATACATTCACTCCAAACCATTGGCTATACACCTGAAAGTGCCACCGTTTTCATTTTCTGCACATCTGTGCTGGATTATGTACAAGAATGACAGGCAATTCTAACATCAAAAAAAGAATTGTAGTTTATATGCTGATTTCAGATGTATAGTTTTTCTTTCCATGAAATATGCACAGGAGTGGGATTTTCTTACCCTGGTGCTGGGGATTATACCCAAGGCCTCAGGCACATGAGGCAAGTACCTTACCACTGAGTTACAGCCACAGCCCCAGATCCAATGTGAACAGAAGCAAAAGCACTGTTTCCTTTCACTGAATCATCATCTTCAGTTACACAGTGTTGGTGTTAGTCTATTAGTTTTGCAAGTTCTTGTCTAGGTTTAATAATCTATGAATCTGTGATTCTAGTCAAATTGACTCATTTAAGAAAGCATTATTTTTATAATAAAAAATGAATTATTAATTAAGAAACAACCTTGACATACATATTATAGATATGTGTGTTGCTAAAAATGTTTGGTTGGGAATGGCAGGATGAGAGCAATGGTAGTGACTGAGGACTCTTTTGATAATTCCTAAGACGAAAACAGAGGCATTAAGAAGTAGAGAAAGATTGTATTTTAGAAATAACACTTAGACTTTTATAGGTAGTGTCATTTAAAAACACAATTTCTTTGTGGCCCAAATCTTTTGCCTAAATACTGGCCTTGATAAGCCTGTGCTAGCTATTTCTGGCTGTAACTCATTCTGTTTTCTAGTTATTTCTATGTATATACTTACTGCTCAAAATTTCTGGACTTTTCACTGAAACAGCTAACTTATTTGTTTAGTTCTCCTTTGATTAGTAATATCAATAAAGTACTGCTATTAATAATATTGTTTCATATAAAGACAAAATCAAAACTCCTTTTTAGTCATCTTTAATAGAATTTATCAAATAATAATCTAAAAGTAATATTGCTTTTACATAACAAACTACCTTTCTAATCAAAGATTAAACTGGCAACACATAAAATGAGGACCAATATGATCAAGAACTTGATGTGACATGGACATGCTCAAGTAGAAAATCAGTAAATAAAGAAGCGGTGATAAGATGAAGTGGGCTCAGGGAGAGGCTCTGTGTGAAGCACAACCATTTGCTATGACAGCAATGGTGACTTTTAAGCCCTCAGTGTGTTGTATGTACTACAGAGGGTTCACACAGTAGCATCAGATACCATGAAACCTCACGCAATGTAGCACAAGCCAAATACAAAACAAATGCTTTCCATGTGTTTATTCATACTTGTGCTTATTGAGATACCAAACCACTTTTGCTAATGTGTCCCAGATTTGTATCTTGGGGAACTAACAGCAAAGCATTTTTTCAAAGTTGCTTAACTTTACCATTTCTTCTCCCTCTTGTTCCCAAGAGCTCTTGTTTATTCAACTCCCATCAAAGATATGGCTTACTAATCTGGTTTGCTCTACTCATGAACTGTCTCTGAATTTTTCTTTAATTTTTTTGAATTTAACATTAATATAAAATTTGTTTTATAAATGTATACCAATAGACTACATATCCTTATAAATCCCTAAAATAAAAAGAAATAATTTGATCTTTATGCAGAAGTGTAAAACTAAAAACCTTCCAACTAAATGAAGTATAATACTTAACTATTTGCATTTCAAAACATAAAAATTAAGACATACTTCATGAGATAAAAGTGTTACATGAACACTCAAGCTCATGGGTTATCTCACTCTGGTTTGTTTTTTTATCCTGTAAACTGAATGACGCTATTATTAACAAGTTGTGATTAAGGTCAAATCTACGTTCCTAGTCAATAAAAATAGAGTGTGTGTGGGGCAATAAAATTGTAAACAAAATTTTGTTTGGAAGAATAATGGCTAAAAGAAAAGACAAATTAGGCCTAATGGTTGTTAGTAACTGTTTTCTTGCTGCTTCAAAGGTGTAGGGACTTTGTCCCTCCTGTTCACCACTTTGTTCTGAGCACCTAGAACAGCGTCTGGTATATCAAGGCACTCATTTTTGTTGAATGAATGAACAACTTTTTAAGTATAATATGTGCAAAGCTGTGATTCAACCCTAAAATTTCTAAGCATTGTTTACAATACAGACTTAGATGAGTAAAAGTTACATTAGTAATTTTTTTTTGAGACAGGATCTCACTATGTAGTCCAGGCTGGCCTCAAACTTGCTGCAATTCTCCGGCTTCAGTCTCCCAAGTGCTGGGATTACAGGCATGCACCACGATGCCTGGTTGTAATTTTTTTTTATAATATGTAATACTTTAAAAACTTTAAAAACACTTATAGATACTTGTGAACACCTAAACAAGTATAATATCAAAAGTGTCTAGCATATAAATCATAACAGCAAAAAGGAAAAAAGATTTTCAGGTTATTGGCAATGATTGTTTTCACACTTCAAAATAGAAAGTAGATGTAATGTTGATACCTCATTCTGTTGATACAAAGAAGCTGGACTGTTGGGTCCAAAGAAATATTTTTTATTAAGGTATTTTTTTTTAATATATATAGATTTTGCCTCCCTTTGATTTTGATCTTTGTAATTTATTCTTCGGAATTGCTCGATGTCTATCCAGCACATAAGGTCCATGCTAAAATAAAAACAAAGAAAAGTATAGACTTCTTATTTATTTCTCTAAAGCTTACTAAACATCAAAACACCTTTGCTTTGACAGGTTCAGAAAGTGACTGCCTTCACTAGTCAGTGCAATTGATTAAATCACAGAACTGCGTAGTACAGTGTTGCCTCTGATTCTTAGCTTGACTTTAACCCTAATCTTTATTTTTCATCACTAGTGATGGACTAGTATCATCAATTTCAAATATAGGGAAATGTCCACATATGGCATCTCTATTTGATAACAGGCCAAATTTAGATAATTCTCACTACAATGAAGGGAAACAAACACAGTGAAATTTTGCTCAGTTCTAACTAGTTTCTGCTAACTCGGGAGAAAAAAATATAATCAGCACTTCAGTTTATACACACCAACAAACAGCAATCCATACAGCTTTCAGATAACTATGTTCATCAGTTTTTACCAACATAAATAAAATATATAGCACCAAATCACTAATATAGTGTATTGAATCAAAACTAACAGCCAAGGGCTGGGAATATAGCTCAGTAATACAGCACCTGCCTGGCAAATGCGAGGTCTTGAGTTCAATTTCCTGTGGGGGAAAAAAAAAAAAAACCCACAAAAACTAACAGTCTAGACAAATGATGTTTTAAGTATAGAGAAATATTTTAAAATGGTTATATTCCTTACCTTGAGGAATGTACTCCAAGAAACTGACGGAAATGTTCAAACTCCAGTTTGTTGTTAAGCAGATCATTAAAACTAAAATGCTTGTATTCTTCAGGAACATTATTCCAGTATTCTGTTTGTTTAGAGATATCAGGGAGTGATAAAAGACCAGTTCCAATTTCATCAGTGGCATCCTAATGACATAATATTTTTCAGAAAAGTTTCTTAAATGCAATAATTTATAATTTTAAATAGAGACTAAACGAAAAATCAGCTATTAAGCCATGGCTGTTTAACCATTCAGAAATGGCAGAAATGGATAAAGAATATAGGTGATTCAGACTCCAATTCAGATCAAATTTTGTCCTGTTCCTTTCCATTCCAACCCTTTATTTTCATGGATACTTAGTAAACCTTTACTATATACAAAGCAATTGTTTTTAAAGTACCAATTGCATTAATTTCTTAGTATAGAAGTTATATATCTTTTCCAAGAAAAAATAAAATTCATATATAATAGTACTGTTGAGACACAGCCACCATTAATATGTTTATATACATTCTTTGGTCTTTTTTGTATATATACATATAGTTGATTAAAAATAAAGATAGGATTATATCCCTATATACAGTTTTTAGAACCTTGTTCATTTTCTTCACAATACATAATAAACATAAAACATGCTTTCACAACACAATTTTTAAAAGTTATATTATGATACTGATAGTAATCTCCATATAAAAATTAATTTTTAGGTAATTTTAAGATCTCGGATGTTGCATGGGTAGTTTATAAGCCTTAAATGGCAAAACAGTATAGAGAAGCATATTCTTTGAAAAGCACTTCATCATATAATTTCTTATAAAGTTAATTCATCTCCTATTTGTTTTTTAAGAGTGTCTGACCAAGAGGTAAACTGCCAATATTTTTAAAAAATTAATTCTCCTTATGTAAAGTATTATGGGGAATGTTATAAAATTTATTTATTTATGTGTTTTTGAGACAGAATCTCACTAGGTAATTTAGGCTGACCTTAAACTCACAATGTAGCCCTGGTTGCCCTGAACTTCAGCAATATTCCTTCCTGCCTCAGTCTCCCGAGTGCTGGGATCACATGTGTGCACCACCACTCTTGGCTAAGTGTTATAAATTTTGGTTCCTACAGTGTAAAATATCAATCTTATAATTTTCTGGCTTTTTTATTTTTATGTATTTTTCCAAGAAAGTTGTATTTCAAGTAGAGACCTTCTATGTTAACAAAGCAACTATCATGAAAGTTATATGACAAAAATAATTACTTTTTAAAAAATCTTTATCATGCAAGAATAAAAATTTTAGGGCAGGAGACATAGCACCTGCCTGGCAAGGGTGAGATTTTCAGTTTGATTCCCAGTACAAAAAAAGTTAAAATTTTAGGTAAGTATAAGGAAGTGAAAAAAAAAAAATCAACCTAAACCTTACCATTCAGAACTATCCTTAACATTTTGGCAAATACCTCATTTGCTTATGTATATATATGTAGAAATACACATATAATTACATATATAAATACATATATAATTATACATAAATAGTATCAGACAATCTCAGTGTTATTTTCCGTATTTATATAATAATATGTTAGAAACATTTTACAGGTCAATTAACTGTCATTTTATGCAGATTCATAAAATTCATTTTACGGTTTCATTTAACAATCACATATTAGTCATACAAATTTTTTGCATATGCAAACACATAAATCAAAACACTTTTATAGTCTAGTCAATCCCTATGATCTTTTTACTGACTTTCCCAATTCTTTTCCATATATTTTATTGTTTTGTTTCTTCTGTGTAGCAAAACTCAATTTAACTCTTGTGATCTGACAACAAGGAGAAAGAAGAGCTGCCAGACATACAATAAAGTATAATATCCAGGGCTATGAAATGGCTTCATGGCTCAGGTTTTTGACTTTCACTAAGCTGAACAAGTGTCCTGATTCCTACTGCTACTTTATCTGCTTTGCTTTTCTGACTGCATTGTTAAATGCTTCGATGTAATGTGAGAATTGTCGAATGCAGTGTGCCAACCATAGAAACAGCAGGAAAATGACACTGCCTATCCCTATTTTATCAATATATGATCCTCTCAATATAAGGCTTCCTCAACACCAGTATAAAAAGTAGTAACCCTCTCCAGCATAAAAATTTGTTTTTCTAAGTAGAAAATTGTCTTACGCCAGCTTTCTTGGGAAATGATTCTTTATACAAAGCCTGTAGTTTTCTGAGGCATGTGGAGTCTAGTTGCCTACTTTCTTCCACCAGTTCCACCTAAAACAAATATAGCATAATTCATGGTGATATCAATAAAATATGTATTATGAAAGAATAGGGAACAGATGCATAATTTGCCAATATTAGTTTAAAAAACAAACAAATGTCAATAAAGAAAATTAGTTTGGAAGTGAAAACAGGAATAATAAATATTAGCTACAGCAGAGTCCCATTTGAATGCAAGCAGTAAGAAATGCAGACATTGGGGCTGGGGGTTAGCTCAGGGGTGTTAAGTGCCTGCTTGGCAAATGCGAGGCAAATGTGAGTTCAATCCAGTACCAAAGGAAAAAAAGAAATGCAGACATTTCCACATACTGATACAGGGTCCCTGGACACCTCGTGTACACTCACAGTGTAAATGTGTTGATCATATTTCTAGTTTCTATTCAACATAACATGAAGGCAGATACTACTAGCAGTAGGAACCAAATAATTCACAGGCAAACAAGAAATGACCAGGTTCCCTATTGTTATTAGTCTATAAGAAAAGGCTTTCTTGCTGCAGCAAAACAGGAGACAATCATCAAGTTAATTCTCATAAGCAGTTCTCAGTCGTCAGAACCTGTAAATCACTATTTTATATTGTTAAGAGATCATAACTGCTTTGTTTCTCTATTACAGGGAAAAAATAGTTTGGCTGACTAGCTGCTTAATAATTTTCTGTTTTTAATATCTAGTTTTGGTAGACTGCTTAAGTATCCTTTTTGGGAAATAGTCTACATTGTATAGTCATCTGGGGCTTCAGAGAAATATCTGGGCTGAATTTAAGAAAGTTTTAAAAACAAGAAAAAGAGATATTTTTTCCTCTTAGTAAAATAGTGTATAACCTGCCTTGTACACTTTCTAAGAATCATCACTAATGCCAAAACTTCTTGAGTTAGGGAAGTTAGTCATAACTTCAAAAAATTTTTTTATTATTACAGAAGATCATTTACTACATTTCTTCCATGCAATAAAAAATATATAGACATATGTATTTTAAAAGTCACTTAAGAGATTTTAAAATTTCAGATACCATACTAATTTTCTTGGTATAATACATGCATTTCTTTCTTTTTTTTTTTTTTTTGGTCTTTTTCCTTTTTATTGGTACCGGGGATTGAACTCACGACTGCCTGCTTGCAAGGCAGGTACTTAGGCCGCTGAGCTAAATCTCCAGCCCCCAATATGTGCATTTCTTTAATAAAAAAGACTCTGAGCTACTTTTTCAAAACAAAGAGAAATCACAAATGAAAATTTAATTATTTTGATCTTGCTAAATTAAGTCATACAGTTACTTCAGTCATAATCCAACAAGGTAACTTTATCTGAGATGTTTTGGTATTAGTTTTAATCACCCCAGCTACCCTTCCTGGTGGAAGACATAACTGACTAACATGTTTTGGAGTAGCTAGGAATAAAAAAAATAACCATACAAAGACAACAGAGTTCCACCTGAAATGACCTCATGCTCAGGGTACATGCACTAACTTAATGTAAAAAATATCCAAGGATGGTTTTAATTTGCAATTCAAAATAAATATTTAAAGAAATTTCCTCCACTTGTCAATAAGAATAATGAAAATATTCAAGCACCAAGGCTTAAAATGAGCTTTTTCAGAATGAAAAAAGATGTGTTGAAACTTTTATCCAATCAAGCAGTCTGACCTGATGAACATCTGGGGGTACTTTAAAATACAAGCACTGAAGTCAGAGGACTTTTCACAATACATATGAAACATTTATATTTTCCATGGGTGTAATATTTACTGTAACTCATCCAGCGTAAAATGAATGAGCTTTTTCCATTAATCAAAATTAAGACCACTGCTGAGACATGGAAAGAAAGGACAAAGCCAGTGTATTATCATGGCATATTTTGTTAGTTCACAGAAAACCAAAACTCAGACTTCTCTCTTCTGACATATTTGTACAGAGAAGTAAAAATGGCCCTTAAGTTTTTTGTTAGGTGACAATAGGGAAACTGGGAAAAAATAAATTAATAAACATTTTCCCTGCCACAGTTTTGAGTCTTTCCAAATCTTAACCCTAAATCCCTGGCCTGTGTGAGACCATGTTCAGTTCTAAGTTAACAACACTGCTTTATCATTATCTGTGTATTAAGACAGAAAGATTCACACTATTTGTCAGTGCCACAATACCTTTCTGTAAGTAACTTGGTCTGACTTTACCATCTTCATCCAGGGCTCCAGGAGGAGGAGAAGGATATATTCTTCTGCTGTGTCAAAAAGATCTTCAAATGGTGGGTGTATTTTCATATAAATTTCCCTCTTCTTTTCCTGTTGGAGTCCAATGTCAAGAGTGGCTGATGGAGCAACATATGTGGCAAAAAGATACTGAAAGGAGGGACAGAAAGGATGTCAGGAGAAAACACAACGGTTAGCAGACTCCTCGGCAAAGACATTTAAGAAGAAAGAAGAGAGAGCAAACTCAAGTGGTTTTTCTTGAAAAGATGAGTAAAAATACAACAAAGCAATATGTTTATTCAAAAGACTATTTTTCCATTTTCTATCTCATTGGTAATTAGCGATTAGTCAATTATTTTCAGATGACAAAATTACGATGTAGATTATGACTGATTCGAAAGTCATAAGCCTCCTTTTCCCCCTGATGTTCACAATGTTTTTAAAACACTCATGTTACATTCCAAAGTGATTTGAAATGTCTTTTCTTCTTTTGCATTGTCAGGCATTGAATCCAGAGCCTTGAGCATGCTAGGGAGGTGCTCTGTTTCCGAGCTATCTCCCCAGGCCAAAACTCCTTTTTAGAAACAAGAGTTGAAGATACACTAGGACTGAAACTCTGGCTCTTGGTCTTTAAACCTAGACAACTAACAGACTACACAGTTAGTTTTAAGTTCTAAGATTGCTTCTAATTATTCTTTTCTGCTATAAAATCTCTGTCTTATAGATGAGATACAGGAAGGTGATAAAGTTAAACAGGAAGATGCAGATAGAACTTCCAACAAACTTTCCACAGACTTCTATTCCATTCTACTCATTTTTCTTGACTCTCAATAATAGCTATTTATGTCCAGGAAGCAATTTAATAACATTTTATTTCTAAATTTTTATATACTAGATAGATATATAAGACTGTGAAATTTGATCTTGATCATGTTTAGACTCAATTCAAGAGATTGTGTGCATATACATGAGTATGTATGTTTGTCTGTGTATGTATCTCCAATATCAAATCATTAGTCTTATTAAAGTCAGACTCACAGCTACACCCAAGCCTCTCTCTGAATCTGCACCATTCATAGACTGCCAAGGGAGAGAACCAGGGGCCTCACCAGGAGGTGCTCCCTGCCTGGAAAGCAATGCCATGTGCCAGCTGCTGCCAGAGTGGGCATAGCCACATCCAAACCTCTCTTAGCCAGTCAGTGCCTTTCTCAGAATGTGTGGGGGCAGTGATCCAGGCCTCATCAGGAAGTGAACCCAGCTGGAAAACCATTATCATTTTCATTGTTTTGTTGGTTGTGTTTTATTCTCTTTTGATTATGTTAAATCTGATGGCAGGAGCAGCTGTTTGAAAGATAGCAAGACATATTATGGTAGCCATTTTGGCTTTACTCGTGGCTTGTTTTGAAGTCCTTTATTTCATTCATTGTTTTGGCTTTATTGTTTCTATTCTATTCTGTTCCGTTTGATTTCTACAATGTCCAAAAGTATCTGCAGCTATTTTGAAGACAACAAAAGGCATTATGGCAACTATTGTTAGTTTGTAAGGTTTTGAAGTCCTGAATCACTTTTATTGGTTTGTTTATTTGGTTTTACTGTTTTATTTTCTTTGGTTTTATTCTCTTTAAAAAAAAAAGCAAAATAAAACAAAAGAATAGACTCATTACTTAAGTTTTATTTAAAATAACCTTTAACAAGTTTTCAAGTACATATTAACAGCACAAGCATTTATTGTATTTTAGCCACTCAGTTAAGTGCTATATATTTAAAGACAAATGAATGAGAGCCTGTCCTGAAAAACCTTGTTTGGTGGTGACATGAAAATAAAAACCAATGGTTATAATACAATATGGTACATGCTATCGCAGGGCATGTTTTGCAGATATCTTCAGTGACAGCCTGTGCAATCCGTTAAGTTCATCTCTCAGTAATTTGCTCTTAAACTTTACACTAAAATATCAAATTTTCTGTAATTTTCCTAAGTCTTGTTGTTTTGCCATTATATACCTTTGCACACAGTGCATAGTCCTTCAATCTTATTTACCTTATCCCTGCTTAGCCTGCTTGATAAATCTGATTTTTAAAAAACATGGATTTTTCGTCCCCTTGGAAGCTTCCACTCTCCTCCCAAAATTGTGTGTCCCGCATCTGTCACACAATAATGCAGATACATATCATTTTCTCTTATCTGAGGCCCTTGAGGGTAAAGCCTAAGACTTACCCACCTGTTAATCTCCAATTTCTTTTGACAGAGTAGCTTCCATAAACATTTACTGAATTGTACCAAAGCTACAGAGAACTGGAATGGGAAAAGAAAAGTTCTAGAAACTTCAGAAAAAAGATAATTTTTAAATTGAACCTTAAAAAATGCTGCCAGAGCCAAAGGAAGAGTTAACTTAAAGGCAGTGATTGATACAAGTAAATAGTGTTAAGAATACACACATTCTCTTGTGAAGCTAAAGCATCAAAAGAATTGAAGGTACTAGTTAAAATGCAATTGAAATGATCCACCAGAAGAGTAGAAAGCAAATGAAGTCAGAGTCAGGGTAGTAATACAATAAATTCGACACAATACACAGTAAAGTATCAAAGAACTAGATTAAAAGAGGAAAGGCCATGAAAAAAAGTTAAAAGGGAGTACTGCACCATTTAGCATTCAATAACTATTTGCTAATGGCTGGGTACAATGTGGCACACCTATAAGCCCATCTACTAGGGAGGCTGAGGCAGAAGGATGACAAGTTCAGGGCTTCCCTGGGCAACTCAACAAGTTTCAATCAAAAAAATAAATAAAAGAACTGAAGATGTGGTTTGGTGATACAGCACCCCTGAGTGTCATCTTCAGTACCACTTAAAAGATGATAAATAGATGAATGAGAAATTAATGAAGCTGTGATCTGAAAGAGAAGTTTCAGAGTTCATGAATTTAAAGTTGAAAGAGTTGAAAATTACCAAAGATTTCAGTAAATGGTCAATTCCATAATTAACTGAAGAAAAGTAGAGAAAAAAATGAGAGTTGGGTAAGTCATTATATGTCAGTAATGTGGATATTGCAAAAGCTTCAAGATGCGAAAAGGAAGAAATTTTTAGGAGTAAAAAGAAAATTTAAGGTCTTTAGATAATATTAGTGAGACTGGTTAGAGGAGGAAAACAGCACATGGGGTAGATTTCAAAAATTTTTAAGTGATTAAAAGATAAGACTCAAATAGCAGAGAAAAGTCTTTCTTCTAGAGTATGATGAGACATGAGGGAAGAGGCATACTTCAGAAATGTGATGCACTATTTAATCAGAATTGCAAGCCACAGTTTCTGTGACTTTGAAAACTGAAAACTTCCTTCCCTAGAATTTAAGTACATAATCTGCTGGCTAGACTAGTGCACAGTGAACCATACTTTACCAAATGAGTTTATAATATTTAAAATGAAATTTGCTTCACATACACAAGGGCTGTACACAAACACACACACACTGATTATGGCAAGGCTTTTCTAACCTTGGGAGTGGGATTTAGGAGAATGACTTGCAAATTTACTAATCTAACTAGGAAATTTAGAAGCAAGATAAGATTACATCAGATTCAAATCTATCCTTAAACATTTTTTGAGTTGTTAAGTTTTCCAAAGTAAATAAATTAAACTAATTTACTTAGGTAAATTAAGGAACTTAAAATTAACAAGTTAACATTTAAAATGTCTCTTTTGGGCTGGGACTATAGCTCAGCAGCAGAAATGCTTTCTTAGCATGTGTGAGGCTCTGGGTTCAACTCCCAGCACCACAAAAAAATTAATCAGGCACCTTCTAGTTTCTCTTATTTTCATGTCAAGGACTGTCCTATATTCATATGAACATTCTTAATTTCTTCTGGCTTCTCAAGGCTCAATTTAGGAACAGCATAATCATTTCATTCATTTCTCCAGCTTCATCCTCAAGTTAAATAAATAAAAATTAAAAATTAAAACCCCAGCTGTGATCACAAAGATCGTTAAGGCTTTGCTTATTTGGAATACTCTACTTCCACCTGTCTAAGCGCTGCCGTCTTTTTCAAACTCCCAATTGCGCCTTCATGCTTCTTCATTTCAACAGACTTTATTTCCCATTTCACTGGGAAACACCATTGGCATAAATGTCCTTGCCTTTCTTCTCAAGAGCTCTGTTCTAAATCTTTTTGGTTCTCTAACCTCACAAAAGAAGACATCTTTCCAGGCCTACATGGTTCAGGTATGTTCTGACAGCACCCTGTGGAACTTGTAACACTGATCTTTTCCTTAGAGCTCTGTTCCCTTTCTTTATCTTTCCACTCCTACCATTTCCTGCATTATACCAAAGAGGGTATTGACCCTCCACTTGAAAATATTCTTCATCACTTTTGAGGTTTTCCCCTCAACCATTACCTACTTTGCTCTTCTGTAAAAATCTTCATACTCATTCCTCAGTCTGCTGCACTCTGGCAATAAAACTCATCTCCAAGATCACTAACCACATCATGACCACCAGTTCAGCAGCTTTTCTCCTTAATCTTCACCCAATTTGATTCCCTGTACGGCTCTGACCCAGCTGAGTATCCCTGCTGACTCTTCAGATTTCTCCAATACTTTCTCTGCCAATTTCCACTCCTCTACAGGCTTCTTTGCTGACTCCAGCCCTCCCTTAAAAGAAAATTCAATACAGGTCCATGTCCAAATACGTTTTCTTCTCAGTTCATATTTCCCAGCATGCCAGGCCTCTTTCACAGGACTTTTGTACCATGCACTCTAGATTCTCTTTTATCCTTCTTTCCCCTTTCTCTGAGCTATTTCACCACAAAGGACTCAGCCTCCTTGAGTCCTAAAGTCTGGCTTAAGTATTCTACCTTTGTACTCCAATGGGTCCTGTATTTTTAAGCTCTATGAAACTCTGAAGACAGACAATCGATGTATTTTGTTTATCACTCAGCATATAGTAATGTAAAATGAATGGTTGATTTTATCCATTTCCAAGACTTAATCAACTATATGTGAAATCAACTATATGTGAAAAATACTTGTGTGTATATAGCTATAGACCTGATCCTTTCTCTGAACTCAAAACCTCACCTTCTGGTTGTCTACTTGCTATAGCTTTAAGAATATTCTGTGGGCCCTGTATGATTCAATAACAAAACCCACTACCTTTC